GCTTGTCCTGCGGAAGTTCCGGTGAATTGTCTGAGTATGATAGCTTAAAACTTCCCGTAGGTGCGTATTTTTCTTATGTTGATCGTTTTCACTTTTTTCATCTTTCATGTAGAGGAGCGTGACCATCGTGCACTGCACACTTGTTCACCTTTTTTTAATAGTTTGCGCAGTTATCTCGAACAGGTTTGACTTGCTTTCCTTCAGTGAACGAGTTCAATGTTGGTGTGATATTTGATCTGTACGAAACCGTTCCTCAACTACGTCCTTTGATATCGGAGTATTTCTACAACAATTTGCATTTGTTGGCTTACTGGAAGAACTCGGGCGCTGCTTCCGACGAATTGATTTTGGAGTAAGCCCTCCTTTACACTGCTTTTCTGTGCTCGTAAATGCTGTCATAACTTTCTAGCACGTTTGCATGTGGACAAGAAAAATCAAGTGATGAAGCTGCGGCTTGTGACGCATACCTGCCATACGTCTTAGAACCGGTACGTTTTCCAAGACTTTTATCATTTCATCATTATTTGATGCATGATACGAATTTAGCCCATGATCGAAATTCTCGAATCATATCGCAAAGCCCATTGGAGTTTGTTCCGAAGCGAAGATGTTTTTGATATTCTTCTCGGATCGAACAATCGAGATAAGATACAGGAACAAGCGCTTTCGGTCTGTAGCTTGCCTTCAACTTTTTGATAGCTCTTCGATTAAGAGATTTAGAGATATCTCCAAGAACATGCAGTGGTATTGAATGATGTTGAGGAAGCTATAGAACTGGAACCAAGTGGAACACCACTTTACCCCTCAAATGTGAGCTATCTGGTTTTGGCTCTGTTTTCTTTTAGCCGGAAACAATTTTTGATTTCTTTTTGTAATTCAGTTACTCAAAAAATTCTTTTTTGTAATCTGTAAAAATATTATTTGTTCAGTCACCCGAGCCTGAGCTTGTAACCTTGATTCGTTCTCGATTAGAAGAGCGGGAACAAGCAAAACTGAGGAGAGCGCGCAAAAAGAGCGCTGGAAAGTCTACTTCTGAGGGAGTATCTTGTTCCGTGTCATTTACAAAGGTTAATTTTTATTGTTACCGTTCATTGTCATTCCATCTGTATTTCTTAGCATTTAGTTGTAAATGTCATTGTAGGACGCTGTTGAGGAGAGTACAATGCCGTTAGATCCGCTAATTACCGGAGATGAACTACCTTGTAAAAGACTCGCAGAAGAAGAAACTGAAGCGGCTGAGGTACGTGACACCTCATAACATATTCACAGCAGGACAGATTCTCGCTTTTTTCCACATAACTACCGTAAATATTCTT